TTCCAAAGTAACAATTGTCTGGGTAAAATTATATTATATAAAAAAACAGGAAGTTACAATTAATTGTTAAATCGAATGTATACAAATTTACCCATGACATCACAAACTTCGCATCAAACAGAATTCGATCATGTTCATAAGAGCGATGACGTTATAATTTCAAATGCCGACATTGGCACAACGGAGCTGCTTGTACGCACGAGCTACGCCGTCCCTTATTATTTAGTATCGGAACAAAACTATTAGTTGATTGCATTTGAAGTTGGCATATTATTGGTATTTTAATGTTCTGCTGAACCGCATAGCATTCCGACGTTATCTTGATTTATCGAGTACGCTGCCGATGGAATTGTAAGCCAGAATATCGAATTCCGAGTGTTTAATTTAACGGTAATGCGTCGAATATGATAGAATTGCTTGATATGCATTGTTTATGAATGAAATGATTCTATTTTGAGGCGGTGGCGCGTGATGTCTTAATGTTGATGTGAGATTATTAGTAGTTATTCACGGATGCACTTTCCTCGGGATCGCGTGGAATGCGCAAGCGGCGCCGGCGCCAAGTACGTAAAGGTTTATCCATACTGATCACTGCTCGCAAAAAAGTATTTATTTATAATTACCTATAACATCCTCGTTATGTACTTTTTGCTCAAAAGGTGTTATTTTATATACAAGATTTTTTATCCTATTTATAGTGACACTGAATAATGCAGAATCATAATATCCAGAAATGATAGTTAATCCAATCGTCTGTAATCAGATCTAGTGCTCCGTGGCTGTTGAACATGCACTATGTTGTTACGATGATTAACGAAGCAGAATAAGTGCCTGTAATCTGATTGAGTAGGTACAGCAAAACCAACATGTATTAATTACTTTACATTCAAATATATTTATTTTTAGAATTGATTGTAAAATTATCAAATATTTTATTATTTTTTGTACTTTTTATTGTTGTTTTTATTGTACTTTGTATGTCGTAAAATACAAAAAATTAGTATATTCTATAGGCTCAGAGTACACCCAGAAAAATATTATATATCATCATACATAGAGAATCAATTAAAACATTTATTATTTTATCATTAAAAAACATTTATTAAAAAACAAAAACATTTATTATTTTATCCCTTACCCTAAACTTTTAGTTTTATTTTATTTCCAGAGGCTTATTTACACTTAATGTTATACAAAGATTTCTTAAACACCTCACATTAACGAGAATAGAGAATTATATTAGTATCTTATGTACCAATATTTTTTTAAAAACATTGTGGAATAATCTTTTCTGCTAGTTTTTTTTATCATTGTATAGAAAAACGTGAAACAACTCCCGTCACATATATGTTGTTTTACAATCTTAAATCGTAGTTGGATATTTTCTTACCGATATACTATATGTATGTATTAAATTAAATTTCATTTTAAAATACGATTGGACCTTATCTTTTATTACACTTTTCTGAATCATAAAAAATAAAGTATTGTGACAATTTCGTAACATGATAATTTTTGTTGTATGTATGTGTTTATTGTGTTCCAATGTTTTAAGCTTTAATTTAAATAATACTGTTCGTTTAATATGCGAGGGTTGTATGTATCAACCTAATGGATGTTGCATTGGAACGATTCTTTCACCAAGATACATCATAACTACTAATTATTGTGCAACTATGTGTCATGGTATTGAAATTAATAACAAAAAGTACAAAATAAAGCAATATCACATATACCCGTACGCTAAAACTTATACTATGGGATATTCTTTTATTGGAATAAATACTATCGCTCTTGTAGAGGCGGATTTAAGTGAAAACAAATATACTACTTTTATAAAATTATCGTCAATGGATATCGAGAAGCTAACTGGCTCGAAGGCTCTTATACCAGTACTTGATGGAAACAAAAAAATTAGAGTCGCTGAAATAAAAAAATGTAACGACGGCTCACCTTATGTAGACCCCAACTATGTCTGCGCTGGTGAAAAAGATTTTGAAGACTGCTTTGTTCGAGAAGGCACTCCTTTAATTTCAAATAATGTTCTTATTGGTATAATGGGTGTTCAAGATTTTAGAAGCTGTCAATATTCTAAAAGAACATTCATTGCAGTTAAACCAATAAATTATTGGATTAAATTCATTTTAGATAGCCCATTATACAATAAACAAAAACGAGAGTTATTTACATCGAATTATCGACGTAAATTCGTAGGAAAAGTTAAAACTAGTATTAATATCAATTCTGGAAATCCTAAGAAAACTATGGTAAGAACGAAGCAATTTTCTGTCTCTGGTAAAACTTCAAAATTAAAAATAAATAGAAATAGCAGTAAAACTATATTAGTAGTAAAGAAAAAAATTACAACAAAACAAGGTACAAGAAAAAGTAATATTAGAAGCAGAACAAAAAAGTATAATAAGGGTAAAACAAAAAAAAAATTCATAAGAAGTGCAACTAAAAAGAAAATTGTGAAGAAAAGCGCTCCACCGTTCAGTAGAAAAATACCAAAACCAAATATTAAACGAATGAGACAGAAAAAAGACTGTACAAGACCCAAAAGTGTAGACAATAATTTCACAAAAAAAATAAAAATAACTAAAAAATCAGGTACGAAGAGTGGTAAGGAAAATGGATCCACCTCACGAAATATACAAAATTCTAAGAAGACGTCCTTCAATATAAATCGTACATCAAAAAGATTTACTTCAAAACCAAAAACTAGTCATTTACATTTAAGATTACAGACGCCGACACAAAAAAATAATAGAACTAAGATGACAACAGTTCCAACGGAGAAGATATATAATATGAATGTAAAACGAACGTCTAAAAAAGCGCAAGGAGTTAATGGAATAAACAAAAAACACAAAAATATCACTATCCAAACAACGACTTCTACGAATGATATCACTAAGGTGGTTCAAAATATAAAATCAACTAACGCAATGGATTGGTTTAAAAACGTTCTCAAGAATATGTCAAATAAATCAAGCACGGTCTTGATCTTGACCCCCGCTAAAATACAAACTAAATTTATTGATCTCACATAAAAAAAAATATATTTAGCAACAGTTTAAAAACAAATATCAAACAGAAGTTATAATTATTTCAACAAGGATAAGAAAATGAAGAAAAACTCCAGATTTTCATTAGAAAAATAGTTTTATTAGAACTATAGATAATTTTCAGTTTTGGAATTATTGGATATCCTACTACTATTTTATAGTATTTTCGTCTATAAAATTTACCAGAACATTGTCAAGAAATCATTGATAATTTCAAAGGAACGTCATGCGTATAAATAATTATATTTATATTTTATAATTATTGTTGTAATGACATTAATCGTTTTTTTCTGTAACACAGTACTTTTGATCAACTTTTGTCGTAGCCAATGCAGGTCACATATGCATGTATACCTACTTAATATTTATTTTCCACTTATTTTGTACCGATAAACCAAACCAGCGATATAGGTTGATGTTAATAAATCTTACCATATAATTGTATTGACTGATATTTAAAAAACAATACACAAAGAAAAAAGTTGCGGGACTGACGTACGGTTTGCTATTTTATCAACTTTGATTTATAATTCCACAGCCAATAGTCAACCAATAGTTTACTAAAACAATATACATATCATTATTTAAAACATTAAAACTTATAAACAAAAGTTTAAAAACAAATGTAAAGCTTTGTTTACATATCTTTAGGAGAATTTATAAAATGTAATGTCAGCACTTAGTTGCAAGCGTTAATAATATGTTGCATATACCTAAAATAAAAGCTTGTAAAGAGCCCATGTAGATTGTATTCCGGGCAATAAATTTTCAAGTAAATATCTGTCGGCCATAATTGACAAAAAATAAAACCTAAAACGAATATATAAATACCAATAAAAATCGTTGTCTCGTAACAAAAAGTCGTCCTTTAATTGTAAAATATTTTTTGTATAAAGTTACTAGGTTCAAATAGAAGTCTTACAAAAAGATATCGATCGTTATATTTTAGAAATTTAAAGTAAAGTGTACCAAGACTGACAAAAAAAAACTTTAAAAAACCTTTTGAATGTACTTAAAATAAAGCCGCGTTTTGAACCTAATTGTATATTTTAATCACAGAAACAATAATTGCCTCGTAGTTATATACATTTAAATAAATCTACATATTCGGAATTTGGTCGTATAATATGTAAGTTAGCTTTTTTTTTACATTTTAAGCATACGGTTTAATTACTTTGCAATATGTATCATTCATACACTTATTATCTCTTTTGAATATTTTCTCGTTGGTAGAAATATTCCCTTAAAATTAAGCTGTAATAATTCCCAGAAAATTAAGCTGCGAATGTTGCAGTTTCTAATTTTGTTAACATATTATATATCGATTGATTAGTTTTCAATTCAGTAATCAATAATATGAGAACCATTTATTTTGCGCAGAGAGAAAGATCTGGAAACTTGCGCACAGTTTTCAAAAACATACATTTTGTTGCGACGCCATTTGTGCTAACTTCGTGTTAATATAATTGAGTTTTAGTAAGTTTTTTTAATTGTAAAGGCTTCATATATTAAGCTTCTTTCTAATTCCAAGAAATATATAGTATTGAAAACCAACGACTTTACATAATCATATCTTTAAAGTAAAAAAGTATAATATGTACCCAAAATTCCTGGAATCCAAAACTATATTGCCCGTTGAAAAAATAAATGTTGCTTTTAGCAATCTGTCATAAATGATTAAACATTATTGACTACTGACGCAGTTTTGACTTGTTTGTTACGAAATATATAAAACTGTTCAAGTTATTTGAAATAGTATCTTATTTTCATTCTTGTGTTATTAACAATAGCCTAAAATTGAAATTTAAAGTTGGAAAATCTAGCAATGTTCTACAAATCATATGCTAGGTGTAGTATGTTAAATTAAAAATAAGTGGTAACAGAAGGAAGTTATTAAAAGTATTGAATTACAAGTTTAATCCCAATATAACAATGACCACAGTCCAAAGTGGTACACACAATTTTAAAGTAGTTTTGTTAGGAGAAGGCTGCGTCGGAAAAACATCTTTATTACTGCGGTATATTGAAGACAAATATAATGACAAACATCTTACGACGCTTCAAGTAAGTGAAACTTAGGATAATTTAATTAAATATAATTCTCAGGTGGTTTCATTACACACTGTCGAAACTTTTAAAATTACGAAATAAAGAAACCTTCACTGCATTGTGAATATGAAATATTTTTAATAAAAATGTTGCACAACTTCGTGCATACCAATTACCAAATGACACGATTATAATTGCTTGTTTTGTGAATATTCATTTTAAATGATCGAAAATGAAATTTCCCTAATTACATATAATTTTTTTTTTGTATTTTAAAATAAGAATGTTCCAAATAAAAAGTGTAACATAGAAATTTACATAAATCCTCCATATGAATATTTTATTATTTAATTGACATTTGCTATATATTTACAATATATAAATAGAATGATATAAATAAATTTTATCTGTCTTAAAACCTGCTTTGTATATATAAATTAGTTGCAAACTCAAACCTTAAATATTTGTGAAGTTATCATTATAAAATAAAAACAAAAAACAACTAGTTTTTTTACATACTAAGGCTTGCGATTTTTTTTATATTTGTCAACGCTATGCAATGTTATTAGCTGTGTAGCCCTCTGTTGTTGTGTTAATAAGCTAATCTAATTTTACTTATATGTTCCTTAAAGCCTTATAGACTTATGTTGATTACTAAAGAATGCTGTCTTTCATTTAGGCAACCTTTCTCAACAAGAAATTGAACATAAATGGAAAACGCATTAACCTCTCTATTTGGGACACAGCTGGACAGGAGAAGTTTCATGCACTCGGACCAATTTACTATCGGAACTCGAATGGCGCTATACTTGTTTATGACATAACTGACGAGGATTCTTTTGGAAAAGTAATATTAAAAATTTGTTATTTATAAAAACGAAAATTGCTTATTTTAAACAAATATTTTTTGTATATTCCTTTCACTATTTTTATACTGTAATGAAATAAATTACCAATTATGATTAATGTAAACAAATTTTCAATTAAAATCGTTACATTGAATAAAAGAAACTCAATATACTTGTAGGTGAAGAATTGGGTTAAGGAGTTAAGAAAGATGCTCGGCTCCGACATTGTGTTGGTAATTGCTGGCAATAAAATTGATTTGGAGCAGGATAGGACTGTGCCGTTGGAGGAAGCTGAGAGGTGAAGTTGTTACTTCCAATTAGATATGAATGATAAATCACAACAACAATAAGTTATATACATACTTACACTAGTTTTATGATAAATGTGATACTGAAACAACTGTTTGTGAATTAAATACTTAAATTTTCTATCAGCTCATACAAACCTAAAAATCATAATATTTAACAATTTGTACTGAATTTCAATAAATCCAGCACTCCTTTGGATGGTAATTTCTGCCTGTATTTATTTTATGTTTACATATTATATTTATTATTTGGATGATGATGATGATGTTAAACTTTACCTTAACATAGGCTTTTATCTTTTTAGCTGCAATATAAACTAGATTATTGTTGTAAAAATTAAAATTTTCTTCATCTATGTGTAAGAGTAAAAGATACATCCAGAATAATAAAAACTTGCATTTATAACTTTAACAGAATGAAAATAATAATTCGACTTTGATGTTACAGTTATGCAGTAATGGTAGGCGCAAGGCATTTTAATACATCAGCTAAAATGAATCAAGGTGTTGAGGAATTATTCCTTGAACTGACTAGGGAGATGACAGAAAGATTTGAACAAAATTCTCAAGCTGATGTGTCAAGGACATCCAGGGTACTGGTCGTCGAAGATGAAGCCCCACAGCAGTCTTCTTGCTGCTCAGGAATTAGGAACTAAAATATTATATTGATAAAAGCATTGTCTAAGTCAAACTTTAGTCTTCTGGGGCTCGAATAACTTTAATATGTAAACCAACATTGAGCCCGTCTCATATCTGGTCTGATTACTTTATCATTTTATAGATGTGCAAATAAGTGATATCATTTAATCACAACTAGCAAATTTATATAGAACTTAGGCTAATTCTATATTTATATACTGTATTCATCATACTATTCATGAGAATATTTGTTATAATAATTTAATATTTTATTAGTATATATTGCTAGAATGTATCACAATGATTTTGAATTACATTAATTACTTATATATATGATAAAGTAATCTATTTTTGAATACTTCAAGTAACTTTTAATGTCTAACAAAGGGCTGTTATTTTGACTGAAGCGTTGTTTTAACATAGTTTGATCTATAAATCTATTGTTTTGTTTTTGATTGAGATTGTTTCTTTTATTGGGAATCTTAAATATTATAAATTGTAAATGTATTTATGTACAATAATTCAGGAGAGTTTTGTAAGGATATGGTAATTCTTTCATATAAAAAAAAGCTTAATTACATAACTTTTTAATTTATCACAAAAAGTATTTACATTGTGATAAAAGAAAAAAAATGTTCCAAGATATAGTAATTATTTCAATATCCTATTATTTATATTGCTCAGCGACAGCTTGTATGGAAAATTTTGTTCTTGAAATTGATTAGGCATCTCTTTTACATAAAACATTAATATACTGTATTTATCAAAAGTGATAGTTAAAAATTTAAGTATTACATTCCTTGAATTATATAACACATAAGTTTATTTCCTTGCCTATTATCATGGAATAATAATTATGAAAATAAATCCTAAAAAAAAAAAACGATTGTAAGACACATCTTGAACAGGATTTGCTTATTCTTAAAAATTTAAACTGTCAAGTAATGCCAGTGATATTCTTTCATATCTTCTAATCTACATGTTCAAAGACGCGACTGACTTTTTTTTAACTTTGTAGATGTCTTGCAACTGTGCCTACAATAAATTAAAATTTTTAGATTGGTTAAAAGATATATTTATGTAAATGAAGAAGTTTTTAATTAATGCGTATGTATATTTACCATTTCCTTATTGTTATTGTAATATTTAACACTTGGCTTTATAAAAATTTAATACATAAACAATTTGTTTATTAGTAATATTGATAGAGATTCTTGTAGTAATATACATTTGATATGAACAAAACCTTATTTATATTTACTGTATTATTATAAAAATGTTCTTTGTGTTATTTGAGAACTGCTTAAAATAAATCTGATATTTAAGTTTTTGTTCTCTATGAATTACTATTAACTATTCTTTGAAAGAATTGAATTAGTACACGAATTTAAAACACTTATTATTGGCCTCGGTTATTGTTAAAATTTTGAATAAATGCACTTGTTTAATCTAATGTTTTCTGAATTGCTTAATATGGTTTCCTTTAAATGAAAACGTAAAATAGAAATTAATTATATTGAAATTAAAATTATTTTTATGGGAATGAAACTTTTATACAAATCACTAAATAGAACTACAATGATTAACATCGTTTTCTGAAAACTATTTGACTCGAGAAAGCTCAATTAATATGATACAAGATAAACTAAAAAATATTTTTAAAATGAAACATTTTTTTTAGTAATTATATGTTTAACGTTACCTCATACCGCCTACACAGGTTACGCAATAAGTAATAACCAATAAATTCGGTCTGCCCTTGACGCACCTATACATATATTCAAATAATATTCTTTACTGAATAAGTGTGAATACATTAAGTATAATTCAAAAGACAACAAAATAATTTGATTTAAACTGAAATCGTTCCTTATCCTTATAACAAGTGACAACCTACCTGTCAAAGTAATGTAATTTAATTCAGTGTTATAAAAAGTACATTATGATCAAATAACTATTAAAAATTCTTGCGCAACAAAGTTAACTAAAATATAATATTTAAGTTGAAATAAGAAATGAAATGACGTCTTATCTACATATATTATACGAGGAAATGGTCTCGATGTTGTAATGTTTGAAAAAAATAGGAACTGTAGATTAATGCTGAGATAAATCAGCAATAATGATGTAAAGACTCAATTAATATTTTGACATATATTATAGTTCTATTATGGCACTTTGTCTCTAAATTGTGGTCCACTATCCTCAAATTTTATATATATTTGATTGTACTTGTATTTTAACTTTTGGGTAAGATTCCTACTATTCGGCCATTGTCATTTTTATACACAGTTTCCTAATTCTACTAGTACCATGTTTTCCATTAAGATCAATCTTATTAATTTAAAACTTCATAACTTTACATTGTTTGTAGAAGTAAAGAAATAAAACCAACCATGTGGTGTATAACATCTATTAACATAACTACATTCAGGACAAAGCGACACATCAAATTCACATAGCAACTTGTATTACCTTAAAAATAATTAACCACCTCCAATTCCTTCTAAGTTTGTAACAATGGTTTATTCATATTCAAAATAAATTTCTACAATAGGTATATTATACATAATGTAAATGGGAAAGATAATGTTTATCTTAAATCATACTTCCATATGATAGAATATTATGCAATAAATGCAAATAAAATGTATTTTGTTATATTATGTGACAACATACTTGTTCCAACGAAATTTAATTAATAGAATTTCAAAACAAAAACAGTAATAGATGTTAAAATTACTTGTTAAAGCTGTATTCTAATGTTTACAAGCCCCTTACTTCCAAATTCAACTTTTAAAAGATGTTCAGATTTTATTTATGCATTATTTAATTTTCATTAAGACACATGGCTTAGAAATATTACTGGGAATTATTAGAAAACAGTATAATTTTATTCGCTTTTCATTGATTTTGCGATATAATTAGAGTTTCATATAAAATTACCCATTCTTTATTAACTAAACCACCTGGACTTTAAAGAAACTAGGCTAAACACCTGTCAACTACAAATAACCTATAATTAGGATAGCTTATAATAATCTTTTTTAAAACATATTTTCATCTCGACTTCTTTTAAACTGTTGAATTTGTGTAAGAATTGTAAAGCTTCAGTTTTATAACTACTCTGTAAATGTAAAGATGTTTTTATACAAAACTAGTAATATAGACAGTAAATTTGTACCAAAGCAAGATATAATTTATACAAGTGTGATATATTTTATAACTATGTATAAATATGTTTCTATCTTGCACAGTTATAACAACATGTAGACACAGATTAATTTTGCTTATTTTTAATAGTAAAATGCACTCATTATTGGTCTTTATTATTTCTTGATTCTCGTTGATAATTCACGTAAAATGGCAATTGTAGAATCTGATAACACTATGGATGTTTTTAATTTTGAAATACTAAAGTCATAGATACACTTTCTATCACAGTCTATTTTGTGTGCGGAACAAGTTTCAGGCTGAGGGCTGCTCGGTTTAATGATGTGTCACTTTTCTAATTCCACTTCCTTGGTTTTCTTTTTGGTTTTGCGTTCCTCTTTGGTCTCTGGAAGTTCGGTGATGGTAGCCTTTTTAACATCTGTTTCTTTGTCTAAGGGCGGCAAGTCCAGTAAATAGGGTATCATCGTCCTAGACTTCTCTTCAACAGACAACCATTCCATCTAAAAATATATTAATTAATTATTAAATGATATAGGAAAAGCATGCTTAATAATAACTATAGAAATTGTGAAGCTAGATGTCATAAGTAATGTATAAGTTTACCTTCTGCCTGTGATCCTGCACAGCATCATCGCAGATGTCAATACACATCTGTTCAGTTAGTCTACCGTCGTCAGAAGCATACGCAGCCGCCTGCCAAGCCACTCCTAATTTAGAGAGTGCTCGACCAGACATACCCGCTGTACGTTCAGCTAGCTTTGTGCACAGAAGACTGTAGTCAAACTGATCCACGTTCAGACGTCTGAGGATAGAATTACATAAATAAAACACAATTTTTATAAAGTCAAATAATATTCAAATATCGCGATGCTGTAATATATTTACCTTTTACCCTGTGAAGCAGGTTGAAGCACAAACTTATCGAAGTACAATCTGATCAAGCGTTCCCTCTCCTCCAGTCCTGGTAGACCAAATTCAATCATCTTATCTAGACGGTCGTTTATAGCAGAATCAAACTGTTGTGGAGTGTTCGATGCTAACACAAGCATGATACGGCTACTTTGATCTGACGTTCTATAGAGGAATGCGTTGAGAGCAGCACGAAGGTCCTCACTAATATGTTCCGACGACCGTTTGCGGAGGAAAGCGTCCGCTTCATCAATAAACAACAGTACACCTGCGAATTAAAACATATATAATGGAAACAAACCCATTTATTTATTTTATAGATCAAGGCAAAAAGATTAAAAACATAAGAAAAAAATTATCAATATAATTCCTGTATTAGAAATGCTGGTTACGATTTACTACATACCTTTACGGCTGGTGTTGGCCCAGTCGAACATTTTATGTATAGCTGCTACAGCGTGCTTGCCCATAGGGGCTACATCACCACCCGTCATTATAGCATACTCCATACCAGAATGTTTAGCTAATTTCTAAAATAGAACATGCACATAAATAATACTTTTTCGTCCTCTATGCATTCCATAACACAACATTATTAGTTTTATAATTTGATTTTCAAATAAGATAATGGTGCTAAAACTTCAGTAGGGTCTGCTCGGACCAACCCAGAAATAACTGTTTTATATATGAGAGTCAATTCATATTTCCCATGATTCTTATAAAAGATACTAACCTTCGAGAACAATGTTTTTCCAGTACCAGGCGGTCCATACATGAGCAGATTTCTATAGAAACCTTTATTCATTCTAGTGTTCTTAGTAGCAATTGCTATATCTCTTAAGCGTCGTTCTAAATTTGGAGCTAACACTACACCACCCAAAGCATCGGTAGGCTTCTTGAAATTTGATACAGCACGCGATATTGTGAGAATCGGATGCTTAACCGCTTCAAGGAGAGAGAATCTAGATGTCTCATTGACTAATGTGGGTTTACCTTAAAGAAAAATATTTAGTAGATAATTTACTTCATAATTACTTTTCATAGTATGTAATATAAATAAATAAATACCAATGTCTTACCAATCCTAGCCTCAAGGAATCTAGCAGCCACAGATGTAGCACCCTTAGCAGAGTAGACACCTAAGGCAAGTAGAGACAAACCACCAGCAGCGGCTAGGGTCTTGTCCCAGTCTGTGACGAGTGCATTTAAACCTGTCCCAATCACACTTCCTGCTGTTCTGTGAGAAAAAAAAGGATTTTAAGTAATTACTTTGTTTAATGACCCCACAAAGAGATAATACTATCATTAAGAAAGACTTAAAGACTTACTGTATACTCTCCAATATAGTGGTTCTATTTTCTGCAGCCTTCAGTTTAATTTGTTCTAGAGTTATATCTCTATTCTCTCGGTCTGCCTTGGCTTTAGCTCTAGCTTCAGCTTCTATCGCCTTCAGTTTATTTTTCTCACGAAGCTCCATTTCATGCTCGATGGTGGCTCGTCTTAATGCTTCTTGTTTTGCAACACTCTCTTCTTGTCTATAAACATTATTTTAGACATTTAATGCTTGAAATTTATGTTACTTTATAACTCACATGTGATTTTAAGGATTGCTGATTGATATGAAAAAATTATATGAGTTAGTACATATAACCATAATCTTTGCAAAATTTAGTAAATATAAAAAAAAAATATTTGTTATTTATTACTTTCTTAATATTTCATCTTGAGACTTTTGATGTTGTAGCAATTGCTCTTCATAACGGGTTTTTGCCAACTGATCTTGATACTGGGCTCTCATTTGGTGTTGCTTTGTTTCTTCCTACAAACAAAATTATTAATAAACTTTAATAAATTAATACTGTTTGTGAAATGTATGAGCTATAAATATATTTTTTGCACCTGTAATGTCTTACGTCTTTCTTCATAATCAACTCTCTTTTGTTCAACTTTGGATTGTTCAATGGCAGCTTCATATTCTTTGATCTTAGCCATTTGCTCTTGTTGCCGAGTCATCTCTTGTAACTTACTTATCTCCAAAGCATCTTTTGCATGTCCTACAAAAATCAGAGTATGAATTAAATTTTTTTGAAACTATTTTGTAATTGTTGGACAATGATCGGTTTACATAAATCAGAATTTCCACTTTTTGTGTAGAATTAATTTTTTTAAGGTACTTTACTCCCAAATACATGTCTCCTTCCAAAATACATAATATATTGATTATTTTGTAGCTTTCTATCATTAAAACAAATAATGATATAAAATAAATTTTCACCTTAAACATATTTGCTTATAACAAGAATTGTTTCTGAGTCATATTATAATAGTAAAAGCTAACTAAATTAGTCTACTATAATCAAAAATAAATAATTACTTTATTGCTTTATGACTAGTTCACATAAATCACAATTTCCATTTATGATACCCGTAATCATATTTTAATTTTAAGGAGACAATTGTAGTGATTTTTGCAGCCCTTAACTAGATATATTTTATAAATAAGTAACACACTAGTTATTTTTAAAAAAATGTTGCTCAAAATTTATTTCAATAATTCACTTTAATCTACAGAAATTTATTAAATGAACTAACATCAACTTTTTCCATAAAGTTTTACCATCAAAATTGTAAAAGTTACAAGACTTTTTTAACACTGCAAAGCAAACAATAGAATATGAATTTTTTCCATTGTAAAATATATAAATAAGTGCAGTAGCACAAAATTAAACTTTGGACCTATAATAAGTAATTATGTACTGTAAATAATGAATTACAAATTCTTTAAACTGTATATGTCCCAAAAATATATATGGTGAAAATGTATATATCAGCTATAATAAAAGACATTTGATAACGAAGCAAAGGCCATGAATATTATTGGACCTTATTTGTAGGTTATGCGGTCGCATTATGCAATACTTTAAAATGTGACCAAATAAGTATAAGACATACTTGATCTCTCTAATTCTCGGGCAGCTTGAGCAGCTCTTTCCAGAGCACTGGAATCAAATCTGTAGGCTTCCATTGCCTTCTTCTCGGCTTTGCTAAGGTTAACTGGAGCAGCCGCCGCAGGTTCACCTCCATTAGCTGGAGGTTCATCAGAAGGGGGCTGCTGAGGCCGACTATATCCAAATAACCAAGACATGACTAAAATATAGAAGTTTTAGTCATGAAACTATTATTTGAAGTTATTTTTGAACTATTTTCAATGAAACCACAGCACACCGACGGACCGATTCCAAGTCTATTGATTCAAGACAGCAGTCAGTACGGTCACAGAAAAAAGAATATTTTTAGTCTGTAGTGAATTTAGGAAGTTTTATGTGTATTATGAATTATCCAACGATGTATATAACTGTTTTATAATGGCGGTGTGATGAATTTAATAATTAAAAAATAAATATTTATTAAGCACTCTTATAAGATCATAAATTTCTCGAATTATGTATTTACAATTTTCAAATTCTGCTCAATATTAAGACTGAATAATTTTTTAAATTAGACTTTGTTAAACCTCAAATGATATAATTATGATAATATTAAAATATTATTGTTCTATTTTCAATGATTTGAACGGAGAAATATTTTTGCTAATCACGTGACTGACGGGGACCATCTTTTTTGTACACCGCAACCTTATTGCATTTTTACTTTGTCTTAAAATGTGCTGTAAATAAAATGTATATGCTATGTAGTAATATATATATCATTAAATATATACTAACAATTAACACAATATAATAAATTAGATTTTTAGAGACAGAGTATTATAAGCTTAAAACTTTCGAAAATATTTTTATTTCATAATAGGTACTTAATATTAATTATACTTTATTATAGTTGATTGTCATTTTTTATATTTACATTTAGTTATTGTATTCATTAGTATCATGTAATAATAACACCCACTTGATAGTAGGGGAGCCCAAGAGGGGATTTCGGGATTTACAAAAGCGCGGCAGATTAATATACAGAGGGATACCTTGTACCCAGTTAAGTACCTCCACAAAACATGAGGCCCATATATAAGGCCGCCCGTGAAGGATACAGGATCAGATTAGTAAAAAAAAATTGACCATCAGAAATTCTCGAGCGCATCAGATTAAGGTAGGGTGAGTTTATTACACCCTAAAAAAGTGTATATTTCACTAATCTGACAATTTGAGAGTGACGAAAAAAAAGGGGAGGGCAACAAAGTTGTAAAAAAAAAACGTCATCTCGACATTCTCGAGCGTAGCTGAATTTTTTTTTATTTTGAAGGGAATAATTCAAGAATAATGAAAAATATATAATCTGACGATTTCCACAAGCCGAAATAACAAAAATTCATCAATAAAGTTAAATGCGTGCAGCTGCGTGATGTCTGCATGTCCTCCTCCGCGTTTCTATTCCTCTCTCACTCTTTCTCTATCTATTACTCTCTCACTCCGTCTCCACTCTGGTTTCTGTTAATTAAATTGTTTAATTGTAAAATTACTTATGAGGATGATAAATCTGCGTCGAATGCCGCCAACCGTGTGAAAATCGGTTGATCCTTTCAAAAGTTATTGCGGTTTGGAAATTCCAAAAATAGTGTTCTATGAAACTTCTATCAGATTTTCGAGATGGGAGAGCTCAAATGCATAGAAATATTATTTTTTTGAACTCAGCAAGCTCAAAATATCCCATAAATTATTTTTTGAGCTTAAAAATGTCATAAGTACAATTTTAAGCGCCCAGGAATGGAATTAGCGAAAAGTTGCAGGGATGGCCTTTAAGGTGAACCGTTTTTCTAATTTTTTTTTGTCAGATTAGCGAATCCCTCTACATAATCGTCAGATTATGAGACAGTACGTTTAGAACATAAATATTAACCATATATATCTTAATCTGACGCGCTTGAGTATTTCAAAATGGCGATTTTTTTTTGCACATTATAAAAATGGCCGCGAGTTTGCGTCCCATCGAAATCGTCAGATTAGTGAATGATAGCTTTTTTTTGGTGCACTTAACACTCTTAGAAAATCTGACGCGCTCGACAAAATTTTTTTTTTTTTCATTTTCAACCCTTAAATACAACCACCCGCATCATGAAAACGATCAGATTAACATACGTACATTATTAAAAATACGTAGGGCATCGATGCTATCAATATCTGACGCGCTCGAGGATGTCCATGTAACAGTTTTTTTTTGCATATTTAAAAATCTATAGCCGCTTCCCCCACCGATGTAAAGGTATATATCATATGACATTTTTTTCTTCTTATCATCTAAGCTTTGCATCCCAATAGGTCTCTACGACGCTCGAGTAAATCCCCATTTAGCATCGTGGGCTCCCCTACTATGAGGTAATGTTTTTATAATCAGAGACAGAAAAGCTTTTACGCATAACAAAAATAATTTTATTGAAAAATGAAAAGGCATATAGTTTGGTATATCCTATTAATATTACAACTACGAGTTTGTGAGGATGTTTGGACGTTTGTCGCCTTTCATGTAAAAATTACTGATAGATTTTAAAAAGCTTTACAGTAACAAATATCTTAGAGGCTTAGACATCAAAATGGAACGGAGGTTTATGGATCTGAGACAAGATCACGGCACAATAGATAAATTGGATATGAAATCCCAAAACACGGGCTATACATGTTGCTTGTAGTTTACTTTATTTTTTGTATAGGACCTTTCTTTATGCTCTTCATTTCAAAGTTTAAGCGGACGAAATCGCATGCAAAAACTAGTCTATTACAATAACAGTTTAACTTGTTAAGATTGCTTAAGAGAGCCGAATGCGAAATATTTCTGCCCTATGTCTTCTGATAAATATTTTAAAACACTTAAATATGAAAATAAAACCAAAAGATGTTTACTAAATATTTATTTTATTATACACTTACTTTTTATCAATAACAATAAATTATTGTTTTATATATTTGTTATTAAAATGTAAAAGTTAATAACAACTTAGTAAAAATATAAACTCAGAATAATGGACAGAAAACAGTATTGCAGTACTTTTAAGTTAGGTCATATATAACACAAGCAATAATAATCAAATATATCATATGACAATTGCTATTTGTATAAAAATAACATGGAAAAATATATGATCCTCTAAAATTTATTCTTCCAAATTTGTATTTGATTTCTTTTATTAAAAACCTTACAGTTAATTTCTTAAAAACTTTCTTGTTCATCATGGCTATATATATTCAGTTACTATAAAATAATATTGTTACTATTTCATGCAGTTACTGCCAGCAATCATCATACAACAAACCATTTTTAAATATATTTAAAAATTAGATAGCTTACATCTAGAAAAATTATTATAAATCAAGAACCACTTAAACAACTAAGCTTTTGAACATAGTAAAAGAATATTATCCCTTGTTTTAAACAATATTAAATCAGAAATATTTAAAATATATAAATGTAATTCTGATAAAACACAAAAGTCTAGAAAATTAAAGTTGTCCATAGCATTTTTATCTTTAAATGTGACAACATTTGTTTATTAGTTTTAACAGAAATATTCTACACTTAAAACTACTCACAGTTTGAACATGGCTGCATGATAGCGGTTTTTAATTATGGACTAAAACAATTTTTAACAACAATAATGTTGAAGAAGTTAGCATAGAAATGCTATATACTTCTCACTTGTAGACATATAGCAATAGAAATCTGATTCACATTAAACGTCAATAATGGAAAGATTTTAAGGGAAGATTTAAACTTATTCAGTCTAGATGGCAGTAAGAGTAAAGAACTGGGTTTTATAAATGTGATGAGAGTATTTTAACACACACTGAGATTTTTTTCGATTTTACAACAAAGTCGCAAGAGATTCATGTTTTCCATGTAAATTAAACAATTTGAATAAATTTATCGTCGATAGCGTCCGAGATAGGCTCCACAGTTGGGGCATTTGTGATGAACATCCATACAACTGTCTATACAGCATGGGATCAAACAGCAACCTAAGAATCCACTGAAAAAATATGATCATTAATACAAATGTTAACTTCATATTGTTTTAATATAATTATTTTAAGTCATAGACTAATAAATTGCAAAATAATAAAGGCAAATGCTTGCAAAACTTGCCAATTGATATATTGTCTCCAAGAAAAGGCGGCATAATATAAAATAGGAGTACCGCTGAGAGTAAATAAACAAAAAGCAGAGTGCAACATGATGAATTGTATTTATAGATATAAATGATACTCAATTATGGAATTAGCAATTTCAGTGAAATATGTATGGTATTTAGCACCTACCCCAGAGCAAATATGATAGCTCCACACACATATGCAATGAGACCTGGTTTCGTTTGAGTGTCTGTGTTCATCTCAGAATGACAACTGGGGCAGATCATATGCGTAGGTTGAGGACCCACTGGCACTACTGTTGTTACAATGGCTGGACCAGAAGCTGCAATACATGATAAATTCATATATCACTTCGTCAATTGTTTGTTAGTAGTTAGTTGGTATTATTATTCATATTATAGTTAATAAGCTCTTTAATAATTATGCTTGTAAGGCCGGTATTAGAATGAAAATTGTTTAACTTTTTATTTAAATTACCTGCAAAGAAGGTTTATTTATCTAGACATAAAATAAAGATAACACTCCACTATCTCATATTTTTTTTTATGATTACAAAAATGTCTTTGTTTACTTTTTACTGTTAAAATGTAGTGTTATCTGTTTTAATTCTAATTTCCTACTTTAAGAAAATACCTCAAATTAATTGAATATAAAAATGATGGGACCCTATAATAACAAATCATCTAGTCTGAATATGACCACAGTTATAGCAAAGTAATTAATATGCTGATTGCTGAGTAAAATGTGGAACAATAAAATACAACAAGAATCTGAAATATTTTGATGACAAATTCAATATCATTTTAAAAGTAATTATTAAAAAGTATGCTCGACTCTGTTGCTGATACTAATGAATAGTAAAGTAGTGTCGGGAAGCTGCATTAAAAACTAACAAAACTAAGAAATCTTATTTAAGAAATACCAAAAACCCAGATTGAAGCATCATTACTAAAGCCATTCAATTACAACTGGAAGAAAAAATAAATATATGCATACAAGATACTATGGAAATATATGATGTTTTTTGTCTAAAGGATAAACAAAGAAATGTAAAATGAACACTTGCAAAAGGCAATTTGTGGAGAGAATACAGTTCCTGTATGTGTATGTGAGACTTAACTATGAAGTTATTTTTCAATTCATAATTACAAATTTGAAAAAAAACATTCCTTTTAATATAATTAATGATAGTTAGAACAGAAATATGTACAGATAGCTAGGGTTAGTTGACTACTCTTAATCAACATAAAACATTGTAATTCTGCATAAAAATTATTGATTTTAATAAATAACCTTCAAGAAGATATTGTTATCAAAGGTTTTTTGCTTATATCATTATAGTGCATTCCTAGTATTATTAGATCAATAGTTGCATATCAAAATAAAGTAAAATAAATCAGTAAATGGGTGATATCATCATTATGCAAGAATTTCCTGAATAACCAAATATTTCATTGGATACAAGGACATATTAGTAATGTCTGGAAATAACAATGAGGTCATTTTGAAATAGTATCATAATTTGTGGATTTTTACTTACTGGGTGGGTAAAGAGGGGTGTAAGGGCTGGAGGGACCTACACCACCCACAGCTTGCGAATAGCTCGGCGGGGCTGCCGGGGGAGGCTGCATGGTGTGGGCATTACCCCACACATACGGCGGCGGGTTACCAGATTTCTCCATTTCGCCTTATGAAGACAACAAAAAAAAAACGATGTAAACAACCACTAGAAGCTATTGACACACAGACTGTAAAATCTCATATGATGCAATACAATCTCTTTTGCTATTTATAGGAATGATTCCATCAAGAAACAAAACGCAGATGTTCATTTAGAGTTGCTTAAATCGTCCAAGTTTTGATTGATGTAAAATGAATTAAACATGTAAGTATACTAACACAGTTAGTTTTGTAACAACTGTCTTGTCTTGGAAGAATCACAATTATTGAATTTTTTATTAAACAATTATATTTATGAGACTTCGTTAACAAACGAACTCACACTTTACACAAAATTATACACCACAGATAGCTGTAAAAATGTAATGACTGACTAAGTGGGTAACGAAAAATCAAATTTAAATGTTTGCACTTTCAATTTACAACAAAAATCATTCACGTCAAAGAAATTTAGTTTTAACTATAAATGTGTGTTTGCATTTATGCCCTGTGGTTGTCAAAAAAAATATTATTAATTTTAAGTCGTGACATTCAGACTGCTAACTATCGATATTATTTTAAACTAGCGCAATTCTCACTACATCACTAAGTTTTGATGTATGTCATCATATCTTAGCCTTCAAGCCCTTTCGTTCGTCATTTACTAAAAATAGTTAAAAGAGAACAGATAAAGAATCTTTAATTTCCAAACAATTGTTTGTTTTATTAATTGCATTAGGTATGAATTAAACATAGAAGCGTATTAATTAATCTTCTTTTTTAAAGCCATTTTAAGTAAAATTTTTTGTGTGTTTATTATTAGAAGTGTAGTATGGAGTTGTAAAAAAGCACAAGCTGTGATTCATATTGACTTATTTTCCTCTCCAGAAATAAGAATTATGTCTTCACCGCGCCCTAAATCTCCCAGAACTCCGGTTTTACCTAAAAAAGAGGATAAAGAGGAATCATTTTGGGATAAAATCGGCACAATTGGTCGTAAAAAGCGTATAAAGGAAGGTATGTTCCTTGTAATTATGTGGGTTGGTAGAATGTTATTTTCCGTCATGTGAACCACTCCCTTTAAACTATGTGGGTGTTAAATTGTTTTGATTTAGTTTTGTATATATAACTTTCTAGTTCAAGAAGTTCAAGCAGAAGGCAAATATGCTATTGATTCACCTGGAAGTCCTACAGCTCCAGAAATTCCTCCTGAGGAGTATAGTCTATGTAAGTATTAAATCTTGTATATCTTATGGATCCACTGTTCTTATTCTTTCAAGACTATAAGATTCAATTCCAACTAAATTATATTAAAACATTCAAATTCTTGATATTTGTATAATGAATTAAAAAATATCATTACCCATGAATTCAAAATCAGTTGTTGATCTGTTAAAAATTTAATATTTGTACCAAAATTGCACTAAAATTACAAAAAAACCTTAATTTTTTCCTATAATATATAGCTTGTTTTCTAAATACCTATTTAAAGTGATTGTTGTAAAAAAAAGTATTAATTTAAAAATCGAGCCTTGGTGCAGCACAAGTCCAGATATAAGTAGTTTAGGGCTTTGATTTCTTGTCATATTAGAAAGCCACCAATTTTCTTGTGTCTCACCTTTTTACCTATTATGCTAATATCTGCAATTTATATCTTCGTCTTTAATAGATAATGTTATGTTTGTAACTAATTATTTTTAGGCAATAAAGTGCTAATCCTAATCAGTTATTCTAATAGCACACTTATCATTTGGAACAATAAAACTTCCATGTCAATCCAAAGTGACACCACTCTCTGACATTTTTTTTTAACTTTTTGTGTATGATGTTACATTATTATATTTCTTCTAGTGGACAATGAAGAAAGAGCAATCATTGAGCCCCGCTCTCTTGAAGATCCGAGAGTGAAAGACTTAATACAGGTCTTGATTGACTGGATCAATGATGAATTAGCTGCACAGAGAATTATTGTGAAAGATATTAGTGAGGATCTTTACGACGGCCAGGTGTTACAGAAGCTGTTGGAAAAACTGACAGAGACAAAGTTGGATGTTCCAGAAGTTACACAATCCGAAGAAGGCCAGCGTCAGAAACTTGCTATTGTTCTGAGAGCTGTCAATAGGGTATGTAAATAAAATTTAACTAAATCTGTGAATATTGTGGACAATAAACTGAAAATAATCTTCTTACATATTTATTATGAATATAACATTAGTGAGAAAACTTCAAATTTAAATGAATTTATTTTGGATGAAACAATACAATCATGCTCCTCAGTTTTATTATTTAGATGTGATAGGTTATTTTTTAGATGTGAGTTTATCATCCTTAAAAATATGTTCTTCTATGTTTTGAAACAAATATTGCGTTTGTCTATGTCATTTAAAAAATATGTATTGCACAGGTCATCTATGGAACTTCAAAGCCTGTACAAAAGTGGAGTGTGGATTCAATTCATTCAAAGAATGTTGTATCCATTTTGCATTTGTTGGTAGCACTTGCTCGTTATTTCCGAGCACCTGTCCGTCTGCCAGAAAACGTTAGTGTCAACGTGGTTGTTGTGAAGAAGGATGCACCGAACCAGCTTTCCCATAGGTATCTATATAATTTATTTACATGTATAGATATAAATTTTGTATCAAAATATCTAAAAACAGCTATCACATGAAGAATTTTCTTTCAATATTGCTTATTTAATTTCTTTGCTTAGGACGTATATTGAAGATATAACGACCACTTACGATGACCTTGGCATGAAGTGCGAGAGGGACGCTTTTGACGCACTATTCGACCACGCTCCCGACAAATTGCAAGTTGTTAAAAAAGTTAGTGTAAATAATAAGTTATCTTTTTCTTGCTTCTATATTTAAAGTGATTATAATGTGTGTAAAACGTTTATTTACTTTCAGTCATTAATCACATTCGTTAATAAGCATCTAAGCAAAGTGAATCTCGAAGTTATGGATCTTGATAGTCAGTTCCACGATGGTGTATACCTCGTGTTGCTTATGGGTCTACTGGAGGGATATTTTGTGCCACTTTTTGACTTCCACCTGACTCCACAAGACTTTGATCAGAAAGTACATAATGTGTCTTTGGCATTTGAGTTGATGCAAGATGCCGGCTTGGCTAAACCAAAGGCTAGATCTGAGGGTAAGTTTTATATTATACATGATGTAGTTTTTTAGTTAATTTAAAAATATCAGGCTTTTACCATGATAATTAATGAATTAAATATAAAGAATTTTTTTATAATTTAATCCATTTGTTTGTACTGAACTCGATAAGGATGTTCTGAAAATTGTTTTTTCACTTACCTATTTATTTTATTCACTTATAATTTGGTATTTCATAATATTATATTAATTATTATTTTCACATAAGCTTTCAAAATAGTCTCTCGATAATTTATTGATATATATTTTCGTAAGTCTCATAAAAATCTTTTTTTCAGATATTGTGAATCTGGATCTTAAGTCAACACTCCGTGTGCTGTACAATCTTTTCACGAAATACAAGAACCAGCCCTAATCTGAAATGTTTATTGTGTTCAATTTTTATAATTAATAATTCTAAATATTAAATATATTTGCTTACTTAATTAGTAATCAACTAACAAATTCTATTAATTTATTAACAAAGTAACGTGCCTTAATCAATATATTAAATAATATGAGTATGTATTGCTGTTTGTTTTATTTCCTCTTGTGTATTTATCAAGTTTAGGACTCCACTAGAAAAGCAAACAATGAACTACTAAAAAATATATAGCTGTAATATTATAAAAAGTATTAATAACTATTATAATGCATGAAATATGTACATCGATATACGGATATACAAATGTAGCAGATGTTGTGTAATGTCAGAAGGAATATATGGACCCAAAGTTGAAATGCAAAAGTAACATTCAGATACCCAAAATTATTCTTGTTAGTCTAATAGAAAATAATATACTTATTAACTAATATTCGAGTTTTATTTTAAGTAATTTGATTTTAAAATTTTTATTTAAGTAGGTACTTAACGGATACCTCATAAGTCACATGACACAGGAACATTCTGCACCGTTGTCTATCGTATCATGTGTTTTAAGGCAAATATAAATGTTTTACCTTCGGAAAAGCATAAAATTTATCCGTACTATAAGGTTACTGTTTTTTTACGACCTCGAAGCAAAGGGGTAATAAATAAGAGATAATCAAAACAAATTAATTTATTAAGAATAAAGGTTACAGTTAGATCTACAGTTACTAATAAGTATACAATACAAAAATCAATGTAATATGTAAAAAAATATTACGCTGTAAGCATATTATTCACAAACAGGATTAAAAGAAAATAAGATGTATTACAATATTCAAAATAAGATTCGTATAAATAAGGGGTTGCCACAAATAATAATTACTTTTAAATAATATCAAGATTTTTTAAAATATAATGTTATTATTATAAAATATATAAAACAACTACATAGTAGGCAATACAATATCATGAATGTAGTAATTTTTAATTAATTTCCTTTTATTATGTACGACCCTAGCAATTAATGAACTCAAATTTATAAAGAATGCAGAATCACAAATCACAGACACAAACTAATTGCCATAGTTGAATGTTTAATAAAAAAATGTTAAATATAGATGAAAAAATCGTTATTCTTTATACGTGTTTGCTAGCTACTTCTAAAATTGGTTAAATATATCTTGAGTTACCGAAGTTGTTTATAACAGATGGTTGATAGTGAATGAAAAAGTTTTCCAATAATACAGTCGATTATAAAATACTGTTGTGAAATGTCCAATAAATTACATCAGAACACTGGTACTTGACGTAAAAAAACAGACGATGGTCCATTAATATCAGGTTTTAGTTTATAAAATAAAATAATACAAAAGTTAAAGCATTTCGTTGAAGTTTAAAAGCACTGTTTTGCGTTGCACATTTTTTTTTAGATGTTAGGTAGGTAATTCTAAATCTTTTTAAACGGAACTGTAATAAAATATCACAATTTAAAATAATTCACGCAAAATCTATTAAATTAATTTCTGTTCAGATAAAATAATTTACGATTGTAGGTGTTGGTACACTTGAAAAGAGAAATAAATAAATGATATATGTAAATATAAGCTGCCAATTAATCATACGTTACTCGATATATGTATTTAAAGAAAATTTTAAATTGAAAAAATAATTTTGATATTAATATATTAAGGAAATAAATTTTAATAATTTGGAGAAGCTGTGAATACAGATCTTACATATGACATATTATAAATTTTATTAAACTTAAATAAAATTGCTTCCTTAATTCGTGCTTATATAATAATTGACAAATATAGTTTGTATGTTTTGGTTGCGCAATTCGATTTTATTTAGAGAGCACGAACGTTCGATAAATTTTATCCTCTGTTGCAATGAAATTGTAAAAAAAATATTTGAAACCGTGGGACGTTATTAATGTTGAGTAATAAGCTTAACGCTTTAGATACTAATAAATCTATACTAAATAAGTACAAACAAAAACCCATTAATTGAATAGTAGTCAAAGATCGAGGATAACGTTTTTTGTTATTTTGATATTTAAGATTTTTACGAAAATCCTGAGACATCTAAAGCTCATATTCTACAATTCCTATTCTATTGTCATATGTGGTTAAAAAAACATATTAATTTTATAAACTAAATTCTAAAAAAAATTCACACAACAGAAACAATTAAAATATATAGAAAAACTAAATGGAATGTCAGTTATAATAATACGATACAAATAAGAAATTATATGTACAATTTTAAAATAAAAAAATACGAATTTTGATTACTTTAATACTGCGAATAATATTATTTAAAATTTCATTCAGTAAACTATATATTAAAAACAAAAAAAAAAACTAACACAAACTAGAGATTATTTGGAATCTCATAGATTTCATGAAGAGGTATATATTAGTTATTTATTATTTTTTTTAAACTTCACTTCATAGATTTATATATAAGAAACAATAATTGAGATCAATTTGTAAAATAATTTTATGAAATTTGTTAGTACTGGTTGGTTTTCGATGGTAAAAAAACAAAAAAAAAGTATAACAGATGAATTTTTAAATTTCAGAATGTTTGTAGTCACGAATTTATTGCAAAACATCCACAGCATCGTATGTAACGCTATTGCTTTAAATTTATTTAAAACTATTGTATAAAACGCTTTATAACAATTAAAAAATAATACAAAAATAATCATTCAATATAATTGTAGATATTATATGTATTTTGGAATTGGCATCAAGAATTGAACTGTATGGAGTGACTAAAGCTAGTATTTAAATTATATATACAGATGTAGATCTAGTAACAAAAAAATCTTCTAGAAAATACACTAATTATTTTTTTTAAATAGATAATTATCATAGTTGTGTGATAATAGAGTTGCACACAAATAATACGTTCTGAAACATTAGTAAGTAAATAGCAAGAAATCTACAAGGAAGTGTGGTCTACATGTAATCACTTAAATACTTTATTTATTCTAATATAAATATACAAAACGCCTGTAATAAGTTACTTTACAAGTGCCATTCGAGGTACTCGGTATATTTTTTAGTCTTACACATTAATCTATAGACGATATAGTATATATTGCTGATAATATAATAAACAAAAACACAATAAAAACTTAATATGGTGCGGATATAAGCAATACCATAATATACTGTTTTAAACTCTACGACGTAGCAGCCGTAATAAAATTCGGTCATAATTAAACAAATTAAATAAGTTCATCATGAAATTAAAAGTTAACAATTTCGTTAATTTGTTATGTGATACAATAGCGATTAAAAAAAACCTGTGTTGGTTGAAAATTTGAGAAAAGAAATTAAAAAAAAAATAGACGCGAAGAAAAGAGATTTAGCGCAAGTTATGTATAGAAATAACATTTGAGTAGTCTTTTAAAAAACAGAATAAAAATATTGAAGAATTCAATAAAAAAAAGAGTTTAATATGATGTAAAATCAATAATGTATGTTATGTAACGTTGAAATGGGTTTGTCGTTATGTGCCACATAACATGTGGTTTGATATAAATTATACTTAAAATATAATATGTAGTCTAACACATTCTTATAAAGTACTTTACTTCGGCCAATTTCAATCAATTTTATCGCACACATACCTTTTTATATTCAGATTGCCCTTCTTTTAAATTTTTTTTTCACATATTTTGTCTAACAGCCAAAATTTTTAAAGTCTACTTCGCAATCTCTGTCCAGGTATGACTGTTAGTTTTTGAGGCAATCAATCTTGTATAATTTTTTTTTCTTTATCCTTTCAATTATTGTTTAAATTGACTGTAAATTATATTAAATATTCTTCAACTTGGCCAGAGTAAAGTAAATGTTCTTGACATCACATTCTTTATCTTCATAAATTATTTATATAAATATAGCAGCATCATATATCTACAATATAATAATAAATTGCATTCAAATCATAACACAACGTACTCATTAAGCACACTCATGAAGATCATCAAAACATAGCTTAATTAAAAAATACCTTCCGTATCACAGTTCAATTTTAAATCCAAGTCAATAATAAAAGTAAAAAAAATGAACAGAAGAAAAAAAAGAAATCCAATACCAATTCGGGCTTGACGTCGATTTAAAATTGGAACACGGACTATCTACAAGCGTGGCTACGTCTTTTTCATGTCGAGCGAAGCGGCTGACTCCCTGCGTAATGTTAGTTTGAGTTTTTCATCGTCCTCCAAGTCTTCCTCTAAGGAGACAGATCTGCTAAAACTTTGCCCGTACACTCGGGAACGCCACGCCTGTAACCTCATCACCTGCTAGAAATTGCTGGATCTAAACGTGTTGGCTCACAAAACTTGGATCTCAGGTGGACAATTAATATGTATGCAATGCATTGTATATCATATTCATTATCGTTAATGTAACAATATAGGTAAATCATTATAATTTTATACATTAAATCGTCTACCGGAGATCCATTCCAACGTTGAGGCTCTTGAGGTACTTCATAGTTACTGATACTTTCATGCAAAAAGTCACCATGTTACATTACTATGTATAAACATTTGGCACTAATGTATGTAACAGGACGACGACTATATACAAATAGACAGAGTTCCAAGCTGATAATGTATGAAGCGTGGTAAACGTGTTAATGGTAGCAAAAAACAAACCGACACCCATATCAACATTACATACACGTGCGGATTGGTTACATTAAGCAAAACATATAAATACACAGCACTGCGACTATATTTTCAACAAATAATACTTCTATGGCATTTGGGATAAAGAAGGTGTATTTAAATAATCAATTGAAGAAATATTTCATAGAAAAAAATTCTTTCCATGTTTTAAATAATTAGATATCTCAAATGCTGTTTAGGTATATTTGTAGAAAATTTTATCGAGTTACCGGGTTCAACCAAAAAACAACACATAATGAAGCAAAATACATACAGACGCTTTATTCGTTCCTGAAGGATGTCTGTAATATATTAATAGTAAATAGAAAAAAAAAATCATTTACTTGGATAACATTAAAGTAAAATAAAAAAAATTAGTAATAAATACCAACTAACCTCGATTTCCGTACTCTCAATTTAACCTCTTTACAATTTTACCCATAATTCATTTCAGTCAAGTTCAGAAAACTATTACAGCCAATGATACCTACAGTTTTTATTACAAATTTTTCAATTAATTATTAATCAAATGTCTTAAGAAATTTCTTTATATGTATATACAATAAAAAGTTCAAAACGTTTGTCCGTAATTCCTGTGAGACTTCGTAAAATATTACCACCTCCAAATAACTTCACCTATACTATACAGTCTTTTTTGTAATTTCCTGTTTTGTAAGTAAAATAAAAGATTTCAATTAAATTTTATTTCTAAACGTAAACTAGATCACGACCTGTCAACTAACATTTTATAGAGTATAAAAGTAAAAATAGTGTACATCAATAATTTAAGCGTTTGAAGTTTTTTGGAGGCAGCGCCATATTGAAAATTTCGATTTAGCATTAATAGCCTTCGGAAATTAAAATATAGTGCATTTTATTTTAAAACATCGGCGAAGAGGTATATTATTTTTGTATGTGAAATAATACTTAATAGATTTCCTTAAAGCCCCCATTAATGATACAATGGTGCTATAAAACAAATTATATACAAAGCTTGTTCACCCGTGTTGTATAACCCTTTGTCATTTAGTTGTACCTTATAAAATATTACTATCAATATTATGAATGGAATGTCATCAAAGAATAATTTACATGACAATGTTTCATTGACGATTTAAACATTTTATTGGAACATACTATGACCACTGATTACAGGTTCTTTACAAAATTATTTTATATAATCATAATTTAGACAAGACACTGTTTACTTAAACTTAAAACTAATAGGAATTGAAATTAATATGTCTAAAAGTTCAACTAAATGTAGAGGGGTTCTAAGCAAAGCGATGCACATGTTATACCATGTTAGAACATTTTAGTGCGATGGCCGTTACCTTATAGTATACATAAAAACTGTTTCATTTATATAAATGACATTTTATATATAACATCACAGAAAACAAGAACTTAAACTAGAAAATAAATATACAATTGTTTACTTAAAGTAACAAAAGAATTTGACACAATTATAAAAGTCCCATAAAAAAGTTGTTTTTCATACAAACATTCTGTTAGTACATTATGTGTGTATGTAATTTACCTCAGCCTTCAGCTCAGCAACCTGTTCCTGTAATTCCCGAACTCTCTCCGAGTCATCCATATTGCTCACATTGCGGAGTTCACCCTCTGTAGCCATTACCTCATTCTGTAAAAAAAAAATCATAGATGTTTAACATATACATATGCATGTTAAATAAGCAATTTTAACCTATATCAGTTATTTTATCTTCTATATGGAATCAATCTAGAGGTAAAATTAAAACATAATATGTAACAATATTTATTTAATAATATTGTATACTGACTAGCGACCAAAATATGTTACATTGAGTTGCATACTCACAAAGTTATTTGTTAATTTTATAATATTCTAGTCAATATTTATGTTTATTCTATGGTCCTTTTGAAACTCTAAACAATGTAGTTTCGTAGTTATATTTACAATATATAGAGATGTTTGGACTCCAGCCAAGGAACATGCTATAGGTAATTATATTTTTAGGCTTTAATAAGTAACTTTTACTGGTCTTTTCATATTTACTTACTTTTAATTTATATTCAGAGACTTCTGTTTCCAGCTCCGCTATTCTCTGGGCATCCTCCATATTTCTAATATTCGCTTGCATGGATTCATATTTCGCCTGCAAAAACAAAGTAAACTTAAGTATTAAATATTCGAAACAAAACACATAATTATTTTAATAAAACAAGAATTTTAAATGTTGGTGAATTATTTTTACAGTCCAGTGATATTAAAAATTATGATTTTTAATATTAATACAAAATTTATTACAACTCTGTCTTCAAATTTCATTCGACTCCGATACCTCTTCCTTTGCATATCTAGATAAAAGAAATCTAGAGATCTATCTTTGTGCTTGTTAAAGTAAATTACTTCCTCAGACTCACCTTGCTTTCAAGGTCAGCGTATTTATGCTGGAACTCCCTCTGTCTTGTAACCAGAGTTCGTTCTCTTTGTAGCGCTGCATCCAGCTCTTCGCGCAGCTGTCGCAGCTCCTCGTCCTGCCGTCGCAGCTGGTTCGTCGACACCTGCACTTGAGTACGCAGCTCCATCTCCTGGATAATTTAAAGTTTTATTTACAAGGCGAATTTCTTCGACTGTGTCATACTTGATAGGCGAACAAAACTATGTATGTCTTAGTTTTAGATGACTCCAAAAAAGGATGATATTCTGTTGAAGATGTTCTTTATGCTATAACTTCATATAATGCTATAATAATCATGCTTTGAAGTCTACAATGTCAAATTTAGAGTAATGTCACATATTTAAAGCCAAATTGTCTAATAGATATTTCCAAGATGTTGTACAATACTGACCTTCAACCTTAGCTCCTTCAATTCCGTGAGTGCTTCAATCTCACGTATTTTAACAGTCATAAGTTCCTCCTCAACTTTCTGCATGTCAGTGGATCTTCCCTCCCAGGCTCGCAACAGTTTCTTGGGGGTGGCCATTATATCTGAGACCACGTTGGACTGTGCGGGAGGCGTTGGAGTTTCTTGTCTATGTTCCTATTGAAATTGTCATTATTAACATGTCGTACATATTTGCTCACACATTACATAATATGAAAAAAATTATAACACATTAAAGTATTATATTCATAAATAGATATTTTTAACTTACTTGTAAATGTCTCTGCCAAGCCTCCGATAGTTCTGTAACACGTGTCCGAAGATCTTTCAAGGATAAATTAGCTTCGGCCTCTCTAAGCTTAACGGCTATCAACTCGTCCTAGCGAAGAAACACAAAAACGGTATATGTATAATTTCATCTATCGACATTATAAATAAACTGTGAACTGTGAAAGTCTATTGAGTTTAGAATATTTAGCACAAAATGTAAAGGTTTTTATGTAGGTTTACATTAAAAAACACCTGATTTACCTGTAAGTGTGCCACATTATTGTCAACTCTTTGCTTTCTCAGCGTCTTATTTTCGTTCTCTAGTTCAGCGATCCTCGCGATCAGTTCCCTTTCTTGAGCCTGTCTCTCTGCAGCATCCAGTCTGGCCCTCACCAGTTCTCTTTGAAGACAACGCGCTAACTCCTCACCTTTAACGTTATTACCCTCGGTACCTTCTAGGGATGATTGTCTTGAGTTATTCTGCAATATACAATAAAATTTATATATATAAAATATTTCTAATTTACAATATTTACTGAACCCCAATATAATTAAATATTATTTAAAAGTAAACAAGTTATTTAAAAGCAAACCAAACTTAAAAGCTAATATTTCTTTTATATACAATCAAATAAACATATAATAGTAAAAAACAAAACAGCGCTATCAAATTTAAATCACTTTTTAAAGAAGGATGTATTCATTACGATATATTTTAGTTTGCTGAAAGCCTTGTAATATATTTAATATACAAACCTCAGCAATAGTCATCTCCAGCGATCGTATCTCATCCTGGGCCACAGCCAGTCTTTGTTGAGCGTCAACGTTGGCCCTCCTCAAGGCCTGCACTTCTCTCGCCAGTGCGAATGTTTCTTCCTCACCCTCGGCTCTGTCCACTTGACCTTGAACCAAACGCTCAGCCAACGCAGAGCTCTCCTTCTCTAAAAGCTCCACACGCTGTTTCAGAATACGATTCTCTTGACGCAGGCACTGCAATATTATTATTATATTATATAGACATATAACGAATATAATTGACATATATTTTTGTATATATATTATGAACCTCCATGTTAAACTCTGCGAACGGTCACGACGTAATTCGAACTGAATTCAATTTCAGGCAATTTTTTATCAAACATTATCTTAAACCGCAAATAGAGATTAAATACGTTTTAAAATTAGATTGAAATGCTTGTCTATAGATAAACTGTTGTGTGCGGTATAGACCACAAAAAAAAAAGTAATAAAAAATATTTAGTTAATTTCGTTCATCCTATTAACAATTAATGTTGAATTCAGATGGCCACGTGTCTGGTCAAAAGAATATTTTTTTGTTTATACTCATAATATTTTACAAAGAGGTTAATCTGATAAATTGTCCAATGATATTTTATCTTTCATTAGTCACGGTAATAATATATTAATTCATTAATTTATATTTTGTTTTGCTAAAATCACCACGATAGTGAAGTAAGCGAGAATATCAACTTAGATATTCACTGACACCAATGACTTAGACTTAGACATTGAGTTTCAGTAGTAAAGACAAAAAATATTTAGCAATAAAATAAACTATTCTATACAAATTTCGGTTTGTTTTGTTACTATAAATTGCATTTCTTATGTTATGACTGTTTTTACTCATAGTGTGAAAATCTATTAAAAAGCATTTTTAGAATACAATTCATTTAGGCAAACGAAATAGGAAAAAGAAACGTCTTCTTCGTAAGCATGTGTCTTTGAACGGTACAGGTATGTTTGCTCGTATTGACGAGAAATATATATGTATATACCTGGGTATTTTTAATAATGACATAATGACAAATAAATAAAAATTGCAATACAAATACGAATAAAGTTTATATGAAGAGTTTCAAGAAATAGGAGCATAGTTTTTAAGACGGTACTAACTCTAACGACAGCGATGTCCCCTTGCTCTTTCGTCTTTATAACAGTGTATTCTTTTTCCAATCTCTTCATTTTCTTTGGATTAACTTTAATTGAATACGCTAGATTCATGAAACCATCTTGATCTGCCTCCGCCTTCGCTGGTAACTCCTTCTGTATATACTGTTGACACACAAACAGAATATATATATATATATATATATATATATATATATATATATATACATACATACATACATATATGTATAATATTAGTTGTATCGCATATTTAGTATGGATGTGACTAGACTAGAAATTATCAACTCAGTATGGTAATTATTATATCAATGTTAGTTCATAGTGATAAATGTCCGTGAAACTATTATCCTCTCATGTAATATTATTATAAAATATAGACAAATCATTCTACAGATTTGAACGCTGTAACACTATATCAAAAAGTCAATAATAATTATCGAAAAAAATCATTACCATTAAAATAAACTTTAATCATAATTTGTAAATGAAATGTAAATTTTTGTTTGTATAAATTGTTATGAATAGAATTTGTCAATAATATTACATTATCATAAAAACAACAAATTAATGATGAAAATAAAAATTAAAGATGTTATGAAAACTAAATAATGGCTTTGGTTAAATATTTATCGTGTTGATATAAATACAATGTTTGAATTCAGAAAAGTAACATATTCAGGTAGAATAGCTTAAGGAAGTTTCTTTTTGTATGAATATTTGACAGTATTTTTTTAATTATTCTTAGCATTTCATTTTATTTCCAGATCGATACGTTACTTTGTATATGAAAAGAGATTTTACAAAGTCGCAAAAAACTACATATTAATATAAACATAATTTCGGGATAGAGTTGTGACATTAAACAAAAATAATGATTTACTTGTTGGAATATTATAAGAACTAACATAAAAATTACCTTGAGTATGCTTTCCATATCCAGCGATAGCAGATCATTCTTGCCGAGTGTGAGCATCGCTAGTGCGACCTTGAAAACGATCTCGATACCTTCGGAGAGAAACACGTCCATTATGCGACATGCCAATGGTAGGGACAGCGTTGTGGTGAACAAAGTCAGGAACCAGCTGCTAGCGTATATCGATGTACTGAAGCTCTGTGAATAAAATGCATTCTATAAATAAACTTATTCTCTAACACCAAAAACTTAATAGAAAATGCAATAAACTTATCGCACATCACACCGAACAAAGTAAAAACTTTGGAAGTCGTCATAGAACAGTCTTATAAGTAGTTAAGTTAAGGGTACTTTTGTTAATGAAATTTCTGTATAACGAAATATTGATATTCTCCATCCTTTTAATTATATAACACTTCTAAGCCAGTAAACTAGTAATTCACTTACAGCCTATAGCTTATGTACTAACCTGTGATTGGAAATGAACATGCAGGTCTGGCAGCAGTTCCTGAACTAAATTTTCCAGTTGAAACATACATAAACCGAGTTCAGCCATACTGGGTTTGAACATGTCCCGCATGCGATGCTGTTGCATTATTTTAACCAAAACCGCGAAGGCTTCTTCTTCTGGCATCTGGTAACAGAAATGTGCCAAATATGATAGACTTCTAGCATATTGTGGATGTTCCAAGTATTGCAATGAGTTATACAATCACATTAAAAATTGAATTTCAAATGAAATGAAAACAACGTGACCCGTTTCGGATGAGAGCACTTGGAAGAAGTCAAGGGAAGTGATTTTAAAATGAAACATTTGTAAGCCGATTATATTGAAACAAAAATGTTGTGTTGATTCTATTCTGTATTATTTCCTGTATATTTCTATGCGAAAACATATTATATGATAAAAAAAAACAAATACCTGCATTAAAAGCAATCCAACTATGAACCCAGATCCTTGACAATAGCCAACTTCTCTATCATGTAGCGAATACGCCTTCATCACATTGAATAGCGACTCCTGACCCAATCCATCCTTTTCCTTAAAGAAATCATGTTCTGGGTACGTTCTGGCTATGTCACGTCTAATCACTTTTTCACAAGCTGATTTGGCCTAAAAATACACACTCATATAGCCCCATACATTTAAGAATAATAGAAGTTATTTAGAATATAAGAAAATAAGTGAGAGCTACCTTAATATAAGACGCATACAACTTCTTCTCCGGCGACGAATCGACTCCAGCCAGCAGCTGCCATACAATTCCTCTGAAATGATGAGGCACTCCCTGCCTCACCAAATCCCTCACAAACTGGTTGCGTCGCCGCCATTCATTCTCCCAGTTGCTGACCAATCTGCCCCACAAACCCCACAGATCCTCCTCTCCGTTTGTAGCAACCCTTGCCTCTTCATGACTTGAACTTGTGGCTGGAAACAATTTTTTGGTACGATTGTTACAATTATTCTGTTTGATTGTAATTCTATAACACATAAATCTTACAAATTAAGAACTAAGATAAATTAACATAATCAGAAGTATTCATTCGCTTGCAAGTAAAGATATTGAATTAGGTTGTTTGTTCAGTAGGAAAACATGTCGCTAATTGCCAACAAAATAATGCTATAATCTCTATTGACGGTCGCAATAAAGTTCTTCTTTGCAGCAAAATCAACATAAATATTTAAATTTAAGTACATTATACATAAAATTTGAATCAAATGTAAAACTTTGCACTTCTAACACTTCTTTTCTTTTTTTTTCTAGATTCTGATCTGAACTTTTTAATTTTATTTTACGAATTCAAAAAGCATCAAACAGAAACCATGTTGATAGGAGTAAAAAATATATGACAGCCCAATTAAAAAAAAAACAATGATTTTAGACAAAATTTTCAAATAATTCCTTCGCTATTTAATTACCAATACAAGAATAAACGAGAATGTTTTCAGTATTTGAATCGAGTTACAATCGCAGGAGCTGGGCGTGTTTGGCCTCGATATGCTATTATAATATATTTTTTTACAACGTTACATTAACTATAAAACACTTAATTACGTTAAAATTACATTAACCTTATGCAACCGTCTTGTTGCCTAAATTATAAATATTACAAACTTTAATGTACATGACGAGTAAAATGAAATGATTTTATTTAATTGTTCATAATACAAAAAACTAAAAATTAAATTAATAGTAATCTTATTTTATTTATAAGAAAATTTTATTTTCTTACGTAAAATGGTAAAGTTATTAAGATAGTATTATAAGGTACTTTACATATACATATATTAATTATTAGTTATATTTGAATTCAGACATTTTTTAAATCACACTCATAGCGCTGTGTGGAAATACTAGATTTTAGCTGTAGGTTCCTTAACGTATTTGTTGTTAATGTGTGGATGAATTTATATAATATATAATATTATAATTATTTATATATAATATTATATAACACATTTAAAAATGTGTTTCAAGTAGACTGGTTATTTTAATGGAATATTTAATTCAAAAGATACTTGATATAAATAGTATTTTAACAATTTGCAATTTTTAAATAACACCTAAAAATATAAGCGATCGTAAAAAGTACAATAAAAAATCTTGCAACAAAAACTTTAGTTACGCCAAACCGTTGTGATACAAGTTTTCTCATTATATATTAAATAGGACATACTTTCGAATACTGTACATACCTAGAACATTTCCTATGATACTGGTTATATAAAATTCTATAACATTTAAACTAGATATTTCACCGTTTTCACTCATTGCTGATGTACAAAACAGTTTCAGATGTTGCACATCATATATCTCCAGTATCAATGGTTGTCAAAACGAGATAAGATAGATGCCACGCTTAGTAAAACATGCTCATAGGCAGACCGAATTTGGTCATAGCCAGTAATGAAACTTTAAAATTGCGCACAAAAGTAAATGTAGATTAGGTAAATCCATGCAACATCAAGTGAGTGACGCAAGCGTTAGCGGGAATATATATAAAGATTCTCGATGCAATACCTTAGGGATCGTTTAATATTGTTGTAATTAAGTGGTTTTAGACTTACCAGAGGCCAGTGATATTTGTGATGTGTCCGAGCTCTTGCGGCTGTGGACAGTAGTGAGCGAGGGGCTCTTAGCGTCCGCCTCGATTCTTCTATTTTCTTCCTCCAGCTTGGCAAGTAGCGCCTTCTGAGGTGACGATATACCCTCTGTCTCACTCACACCGCAGTCTGTTGACGATGATTACGTATTGATAATGATAGTGCGTACAATTAACCAAAACTGATAGGTATGTCTCATAATATACTTTATGCAACGACTAGTTATTACACAATAGTTTACGAATAATGCTGGATTATTAAAATGGTTAATGCAAAGTTAATTGGTTAGGTTAAAATTAAGTTATTTTTCTACTTTTGCTTTTTTAATTATTTAATTAATTGAATTAATTAATTGAGGAGCTGGTTGGAAATAAATAGTCTTTAGGATTTCTGTTGTTTATATAAATATACTACATATAGAAAAAAATATATAAAAAATATTTTAAACATTAATCTCTGAGATGGAGCGTTTGAATATATCACGAAACAAAGTTGGCACACGTCAGCTAATGCATTCATGATTTCAATTTCAGAAATATATTTTTTCATTACCCGACTGTCTATTGGGATGCAAACATGATTAATTAGTTACTACCCTAGGGGATAAAACTAAAACACACAGCATTCACAACGAAGTTAACTGAATCTTCATGCAGGAACATCTAATTAAATATTAACATTGACTATAGCCATAATGTTATTGGATTTAACAGTTTACATTTCACCTAAGAGTTGTTAGTAAACGCTTTTATTATACAAACAAAAAAATGTATGTATGTGATGTCTGCGCCATATTTATTGAACCTCAACTAAAAGATACAAATAACTAATAACAAGACCATTACATCCACACGACTACAAACATGTGACATTTCTAAATAATTTATTCTAATACCTGACATTTTCTTTGTCTAACAATATATTTTGAACTCCTACAGAGTACTGAGTGTTACTGATAGTAATATTAATGTATATTAGGGGCCAGGTGCAGGCACAAGCGTTGGTTGGTTATAACTTACAGGATATTTTTACAGTGCACTGTGAGTATGATGAGAATTTCTGTCTGCGTCTGTGTTACGTGAAACAGCTTTTATATTAAACATTGTGACTCCTTTATTAAAAAATACTTTTGAATTTTTATGTGTACATGATGTATTTAAAGCGACATTACAGTTTCCGTGAGCAACAAATGAAAGGGTGAATATTTTCGTGACAATTCCTTTTTATGTTTAAACGTATTTAACATGTTATGTTATTTTTTTTTGTTATTTAAACACTGCTCCTAAAAGAATGCGCTGCACACTGTTATCTGTATTTGCTCTGGGACGCCTTCAAGTCCTTGTTCATACTAGTCAGACAGACCGAAATCCTCATTTAGATTAGTATGTTAGTTAGTAAACAAACCATCAAGGGATGACACTGGTGATTCTGTATTACTAGCAATCAGGGTGACGTTGCAGGCCGGCACTGCTTCCCTGGCTTCTGCGTCCACCTTCATGATGAAGCCTCTGCCATATAGTACGTGCACTCGGCTCGCCTCTCTGTACCAACCCAACTAAGTCAGACCCTTAGTCGCACTATTTACCGCACCCCTTATTTATATAAAAAAGGACAGCTAATATATGAAAAAAAATTTTCAACGCGACTACTGGACTTCTGTCCAGTTCTTGGTTTTAACACCACCTCTACATAGAGATAACGTAAATTTGTCATCCAAATAAAAAGGATGACTCATATGTAGGCACAGTACCTACGGACTAAACGAACACTTAGATAGTTTACATATATTGTGTTTCTAATGTCTTTGTTATCTGTCTTCTTGGAAATAATGACTTTAACTGCTTAATGGTATCAAAATTGCATTCGTTAGTAAAATCATGCTTTTGAATATTGATGAACATGGTAAAGGAGAAGTCAAACATACACCACAAGTATATATGATAATAGAATATAAAACTTATAAATCAAAAGAGTTTCACAAAATTATTCTTGGCACAAGTTTGAAAATATGCAAAAAGTAACAAAATGAAAAGTGATAAATTATCACATTTCATGAAATAAATTTTAATACAATTAAGGATACTCACAGTGGGAGAGTTGTCGCTAATTAGTTCGAGAGCCTCGAGAGGGAATAAGATTTCAATTGTACAAAAATTTATTCTTCCATTATAATTAGTAATTACTATAATAAAATGATATATCCACAGGTTTAACTTCAGATTATGAGATCGTACAAGTTTTAAGTAGCGTGAGAGAAAGTTTGTGATATGCGCGACGGTCGGCAGACCACTAAGCATGAAGGCCGCGGCCGTTAAGCGCGCGCACCATGCATCACCTATTATATCTTCCTAGTTTGTTATTTATTATAATAATGTTTAAAAAATACTCCATTTACTGGAATAGTTCCACTTGAAATAGGTTTTAATAAAATTCTGTTCATATGTTAATTAATTGAGGTATGCTAAATAAATATAAGTATTGGTGTAAAAAAATTAAAGTTTTGCAATAAACCAGCGAAAACAATCTCGGTCAAAGTAATTTAAGTTTTAATGACGACTAATTAATTTGATATAAATGATGTAATTTAAAATTCTTTATAACCTTTATTGAACAGTTAAAATAATAAACTGATTGTAACACAAATAGTTGATGCTGCTAAATTTTTAAATAATTTATTATTAGTGATCTATAATAAAAAAATTAAAAGAGATATCATGAAAATAATATTCAGGAAAGTATATGAATTTGATACAATTACGTGAAGAGCTCTTTCTACAGTCCAGAATTCCAGACAGAACGAGTCTACGTAGACAGAAAGTTGAGCCACACAATTTATTCAAAATGAAATTCTATTTATACAAAATTTGTTAAGTGTGGTTTATAAATAAGGCTTCACTTTGTCTCAAAATATGAACTGTGAATATTCATACCTATTTCAATATTTACACTGTAAATGCTATAATATAAAAGTTATTTAGAGATAACGCTGCAGGTTAAATAATGTATGATTGCACATTCATTCGACCTGCAATTTGATATACATTTAATAGCGGTTATATGTATCAAGTTGTATACTTGCCATTCGGAATTCAGACGATTCAAGAGCCCTTCAGATTTGTAATTTGTGGTGGAAAAAAAATACGATACGTTCGTCATAGCATTCTGAACAGGTTTCATGATTAATGAAACTGTAGTATATTGCGTATCTAAGCAAAATGTGTTTAGTTCACTCGTGTATAAAATAAAATACTTAACATTGTGATTTTAGTTTTATAGGTTGATGTAGACACTCATATGTATGAAAGTGAAAAACCTTAAATTAAGTCTTAAAAATTAAGTATAGTTTTTAATTTCCTCGTTTAAAACAAGCTACCTTAAAAATATAGTACGTATGATAAAACACATATAATTCAAGCTAACAATATGTTTTGATGAGATAGGTCTAAATTATTTAACTATTTAATTTTTTTAGCGCATATTTTCAGTTTTTTGAAACAATCTTGATTAAAACTCCAATTTAGTTTTTGGTGGATAGTTTGGGCGAGTGGCGGGTGGCGGCTATCGCTATGGGTGCGACCAGACAGGGCGTAACACTATTTATTAGGTGTTAGTAGGCCACTGTTCTATTAGAAACTATAAGTTGAATTGCTTAAAACGCTGAATCGCAATATTACAAAACGTAAATTAAAAAAATATTTTGCATAACATAAGGAATTAAAATAAAGACATACTTTAAATAGCTAGCGTTCCCAGCATTTTTATGTACTTTTTAAAGTTAATTAAAAATCTTTTTATGAAATTTATTTAGTTTTCTACTCCATCACTTTTCCAACGGTATTGCAATGATTGAAAGAAAATTGCTTATCTTATTTTGAGTAACATTCCTTACATTCAACTATACTTTTTAAATTGTAAATTTAAAGGATTGATCTTCAAGAAAAAATATTTTTAATTGTGATACAGTGTAAATTGTATCGTAGTAATGCGGTTTTATTCTGTATTTCTCTGGATTTTGACGTATGAGGTAAGGGTTTAAGTTATCATATTTAAAACTAGTAGGCCTAACGGTAATTGAAGCAACAAATTAGAAAAAAAAAAGTAATATCTTTATATAACCAAATAAAAACTGGATGTAAGTGTACTTGACGAAATGACAAAATAAAGATAACATGCTTTCTTTACCCCATAAAAAACAATTCGTTCCATTTTTGCTAACTTGCTGTTTCATAAAAATTATTCAATTATTGTTCTTACAATTTTATTTCAAACTCTTTAAACTTTGGTACCAAGGTTTAATTAGAGGGAAATCTGTAAAAAAAAAATTGCTTCTATTAAGCTGTTTAATGACAAAGTAAAAAAGTTAAACCTTTTAAACCTTGAAAGAACAAAACAAGTTTTACAGTTTGCTATTTAAAAAGTTAAACATCAGACTGGTGCTCCCTGAAGGGGTGGTAATTACGTGGTAACTGCTTTCAAGCTAGGATGTTGCTGACGTTTTTATTTAAAATCCGAAACTTTTACTACTTCTTTTACCTCTACAATTTTGTCCTATCTTGATTTTCGTTAAATTAAATTGAATTCATTTTAAAATTATACATTTATTTTAATGCAATATTTACTGTTCAAGTAATGAAAATTGGATTTCTTATAAGAGTCCTCGCGCTAAAGCTATTCATCATCCGTGAACGGCAGGACGTGCGAGGTACACATGTCAATATAACTCATTCTGTAATAACAAAATTGTTCGGGCCAGCTTCTGTCTAACGCACAAGATATAAACTTCTAAAGATGATTCTGTCAATAATTACCCAAAAAAAAAAAACTGTTATTAACAATGCAATTTTAAAGCGCCTAAGCAGGTAGAACAAAACATACATGGTTTGAATATATGTATTTAATGTATATACATTTAAAAAATATTCTTAAATCTAAATAATTGTATTAATCATCTTGCTGTCCAAGTTTTGTATTGATGTAAGACAATTTTAATTTTTAACCCAAAATGTTTGCGGCGGAATAGGTTTCGATTCGAGGAGCTGTTTTCATTTGAAACCTAGTTTCCTTGCGTTGGTTTTTACCTATGTTTGGCTATTTGGAAGTGTAAGAGTTATAATCCAAAATGAGATGAGTCATTTTTGGCGTTTCATTACTCGATTAAGAGCTTTCCTAGTGCCAGTAAAACCTTTAAATAACTATTAATCCGTATTTTTTTTATTTTCATAATATTTTGTTTAATGAAACGAAAATGAAGCGCTGAAAAAGGAACACCACAGAACTCTTAGAACTAATATAAAATTACTAAAGTAAGTACAAGGTATTTTATTTCAAAAAACTACATCAGAAACGCGTATTTTAGAAATTCTCTGAATTTGTAATCTAAATGGCAAAAAAGGAGAATATAAATATACATCTTGTATTAAAATTGTTTTACTAAACTATTTTTTCACATATATTTTCACATATATATTTTTTATACTTTAGGAAGGATATTTCGTCAGTTTAGCAAGCATATTACAAAAGTATAAAATTTTTTATAGATAAAAAAAACTACATTGATTAAATATTTTTTCTTGAGTATCTCGTGTGCGTCAATACATGGACAAGTCAGTAGCGTCCTGCCGCGTCTCACCGCTCACATACTTTTAGATATGATTAACATGAGAACAAGGACAAAAAACCATCTCAAGAGGAACAGCTTACGTAAAAAGGAAAAAATCATTAAGTCTATATTCAAACGTTTAGTACAAATTTCTTTAAGGCTTACCCTTGGATTTAAGCAATATGGATTAAAAAATATATATTAAAACTAAGTATTGGCCTCCTTGATTTTATCAATTTTTATTATATTTAAATTTTATAGTCTGAATTTTAATACTTAATACCTAGCGAATAGTGATTCGCTGTAATTATAACCATTATCATTTCACATTTATTTTATAATTAAAAAGATTTTTACATTCTCTATAAAAATGTACCATCAAATATTTGATGACTACCTTTACTCAATAGAAACAGGAAATAAAGGTCAAAATTAACCTATAAATACGAAATAAGTTATATCATTAAATATCTTGAATATAAATTTTTTAATTAGAGCATTTTAAATAATGAAGCTGACGAAGATTTGCTAATATACAGTTGTCTCTTCGAAACCCCGGAGGAAATGTGCCTCTCTAAGCTTATTTATAGACCGACATTCACCGTGGAAGTCATCTGTCGGTAAAAGGAAGTTAAACAAATTTGATTTTCTGTTGCAAATAGTATGAAGATGATTTATCGTTTTCCTTTTTGAAATGTCTGGTGCACTGTGACCGGGAAATCGATAAGTTAATATAATATAATTTGTATATCTAATTTTTACTTCACAGCTTCAGTCGTCTTTTATTCAATTTGTTTTATATTAGTTGGAAGTAAGTTTATGCTGAAGCTTTGCTTATGCTTTTAATTTCTCGGCGTATCCGGTAGCTTTTGTTGTGGTCTCTTGAAATAATGGTTCTG